TAACAAGCTCTCTCAATTTCCAAATGTATTGTGTGCACTATTTGATCTTAAACCCTTAAAACGTAGTGGCCACTCTATTTCGGAAATAATACCTGGAATTTCTGACATGAAAGATTTGGAGCGTCTAGAGTTTAACTGTCCTCGTATTCTGCATGCTTGTGTAGCCTCACAAAACTAGTTTACTTGGATGTGAGAATGAAATCAATAGCATGCCAGCAGTGGTGTCCAAGATGAAGGCTCTCCAGGTACTGTTGTTACACCAAAAGAAGTTTGACTCAGTTATTGAAGAACTGTGGTTTTTGAAGCGTTTAAAAACACTCGACATTTCAAATAATCAGATAAAGATCTTTACACATTAGCAATCTGGAAGTGTTCAAAGACCTAAATGTATCAACCAACCAGTTTGCATCTTTTTCTTCTGAAATGTGTCATCTTTCTTCACTGGAGACATTGACGGTGTGTCAAATGAATGGGTTGAAGGTAAGAGAACATTGCCTTTAGGTAAGAAAAACTTGTGTTGCACACATTGTGCTGCAAAATTATTATTAATAGACTTCCTCCTAACAGATGTAAAAGCTCCTGTGTTTGAATACGCCTAGAGTAAATAAAGAGCAGAAAAATAGTTTCTAAAGAGTCAAATACATGTATGCATTTACCCATTTTTAATATTAGAACTGGACAAAAATCTATTAGAATGTACTTTTAACTAGAAATACTAGACATGAACCTCACTTTATATAGTGTAACTGAGGTATATCTTGAGATGATAGTTCGATAATCAGATTGATCTGAAATAAACCATCTATTTTTAATTTTTCTAGTACTAGTAGGAATGTAGGTATTTTCCATCCCAACGGATATCAAGAGACAAAATGACTACCTGGAATTTGGCAGATAAGCTGGCCTCCAAGATTCTTCTCTGTGAAATGAACAAATCCTTCCAACTCATGTCACACTTCTTAAAATTAGTTGGCCATTAAACTTTCATTAATTCAAACAAGAAAAGCTATATTCAATCCCTGATTTCTTATAGCAGAGAAAATTGCTTCACGTTTCTAAAATTCAAAGTTTATTTATCTCTTTTTTAATACTAAAGAACAGAGCAAAGCAATATCCTGATGAGTTCAGCATTTAAATCTCTCTTATCACCAGAATTCGCAAAATCAGTATTTCATACCTGATTTCAGAAAAGGCTCATATTTCTTTATATTATTTCAAATGTGGTTATGATCCTTTCCAAGGCTGGCTTTCTTCAGGAGCAAAATGTGATCTTATGTCCATTTCTCAGAGACCTGTAGCTCTATAGTTTCCACAATAATTGAACAATTGAAGTTCCAAGGCAGAAAATAAAAATTAGAAAAGACCAAAGTAGGAACAGAACCAAAAAGAAGAAAATTGCATGTTTCAGTTCCTTGTGGCTGCAGAAAACAGTGTTCTGAGAGGGTAACATTTTTCATTAATGATAACAACGACCAAAAGAGCTTCTAAAGCTCCAGCTACAGAGGTATTATTCTACTGCATATTTTTTATTGCCTTTCTATCATCATGTCCAAAATCTTCCCTGCAAATTTCATTGCTCAGCATCCATATCTTTATTGGAAAATACTAAATTGGCTTCCAGTAGAATTGAAGGTCAGAAGCTTTTATTGTTGAATGTAAATTATGGAATGTTATTTTGCTTGTGGGAAAGTTACCTTTTAAATTTTTTGCAGAAGATGAGTTCTATCTAAATAAATGAATTGTTTTATTTCTTTATCAGTTAACTAAAAATCCAGAGGATCTATCTAAACTAGTTTGCCTCAAGGAACTGGACATATCTCACAATGCATTAAAGGAAATTCCAGATAGAGGAACTGGAGTATTTGGTCCATTTAATTGCAAATAACAATGATATGGGCCAGCTCCCCCAATCTATTACATCACTAAGAAATCTACAGCAGCTTGACCCGAGTGGTGAGTATCTGGCATTCGATCCATTAGTAAAATGTAAGCATTGAAGTATGCCCCCATGAGTATAAGTACATCACAAGATAAGAGGGTGATGAAGCAACAACCGAGAAAAAGACAACTTTCCAGTTTTTAATGTACACTGTTGTAATCTGCCATGGCTTCTAACCAAGCATCCACTCAAAAATTTAATATTTTTAATTCAGCTGTTGTAAGGGTCCCTTTCATGAAATCTTTTTAAGTGGCATGATTTTTGCAAGTGTGATCATCAGGCAAATAAAGGCCTGGTGTGCACAAAGCATCGATCGCTACAGCATGAGCCGGGCAGGGTCCTGCACTTTTCAAGACTGACCTTTTCCTGCTGCAATGAGCGTGTGTCTGCATGCTCAGCTGTCTGAGTAACACTGCTGGTGTAATACAGCCTGTTGTCCAGGGCAGTTATCTGGTGTGGATTACCATGGGTGGGTTATCCCAGGTGGGTTGTGCTGAATGGATTCTCTGGTGTGGGTTATCCAAGATGGGTTAACACGCATGGGTTATCATGGGTGGGTCATCCTGCGTGGCTTCTTCCAGGTGAGTTATCCAGTGTAAATGATCCAGGATGGTTTGTCTTGTGTGGGTCAGTTAGCCAGTGGGAGTCATCCAGGTGGATTACCTGGTGTGGGCTATCCATTGAGGGTGAGATATGCAGCATGGATTATCCTGGGTGGATTACCTGATGTGGGTTATCCCAGCCAGGCCCCACACAATCCTCCCACATGTTTCTCTGCATGTGTGTTTTACACTCACACACCCCCTGCGACTTCCCCCCCATGCGAATTAATACCCATGCATGTTTCTTGTTTTTATCCCCAGGTGAGCTCATACCCACCCATGCTTCTCCACAGACGAGCTGATCCCACACATCATTTGTCCACGACTTACCCCTGTGTGAATTCATACCCACTCATGCTTCTCCCATGTGTGTTCATAGCCACGCGTGTCCACATCCACATACATTTGCGCCCGTGTGAGTTCAACCCACATGTGGCCTTTCCTTCTGAATTCATACCCATGCATGTTTCTCCCCATGGAAGTTCATACCTATCCGTGTCACCCTCATATGGGAATGGACTTGTGACGGGTGACAACGCACAGGATAAACACATAGAATCACAGAATTGGTTTGTTTGGAAAAGACCTTTAAGATCATCAAGTCCAACCGTTAACCTAACATTTGCTAAGTCCACCACTAAACCATGTCCCTCAGCACCACATCTACACATCTTTTAAAAACCTCCAAGGACGGCAACTCAACCACTGCCCTGGGCTGCCTGTTCCAATGCTTGACAACCCTTTCAGGGAAGAAAATTTTCAAAATATCCATCTACACCTCCCCTGGCACAACTCGAGGCTGTTTCATCTTGTCCTATTGCTTGTTGCTTGGGAGACTAACCCCCACCTTGCTACAACCTCCTTTCAGGTAGGTTGTAGAGTGATAACATCTTTTCTCCAGGCTAAACAACCCCAGTTCCCTCAGCAGCTCGTTGAAAGACTTGTGCTCTGGACCACTCCCCAGCTTCGTTGCACCAGGAACGTGCTGCAGCCCCACGGGGCCCTGTGGCAGACACCAC